GGTGTCGAGGCCAATCGCCGTTTCCCTCCCTCCCCTCTTCACAAGGCGAGGTGGCCATGTATGAATCTGAGTATCTGACCCGAGGCGGCCGTCCGGTGCTCTACAAGTACTACCGATGTCTCTACATGTAGCGTCCCTCCTCCTCTTGATCCTCTCATTTCTCTCGACCGGCCTTCTTCTTCTTCCCGGGGCGGGCTCTCCTTCTCTGTGTTCCTACTCGGATTGTGAATAGAAAGCAGCCCAGGTGGTGCAGAGAAACTGTATCCAAACAACTGGCCACGTTCGGTGTTGGAAGCCGTGGAAGGAGACGGGAGTTGGGGCTGCGCTCTCGACCTCCTGTTGGTTGATTGACTAGAGAGCGGATCAGAGGAGGCTGTGGACGAACATCGGACGAGGCCGTCGTGGCAAGGGTCTCGCGTTCGCAAGAACAGTGTCCACAGCGGCGAACGTGGTGGCTAGAGAGAGGAGCGGCGACGAAGTGGAGGTGCGTGTCTGACTCTGACCTAGAATTATCCGTTAATCCGTGTTGTTGGTCGAGTTGTTTCTGTTGTGCTTAATTACGAGATTTGGTTCTGGTTGTCTTGGTCTTCAGGCATGCTGTATGCGATTGTGAATACGGTGGCCTGGGCAGATGAGTCAATACTCCCTTGAAAACGACCGAATTCTTCTGAATTGGTCATTGTTTTCTACTAATGCAGGCTAAACTTGAACGGATTTTTCTTTCGATCTAAATTGTGGTAATCAATGAGGGAGACGACGCCGTCAAGCCGTTCTCCTGTAGATTTGAGCAACCTGGACTCGAGCCAGGTGCCGGAGAAGCAAAAGCACAAACGCAACACGCAGGAGGTATCCGTCAAGAACGAAGACCGCAGCGCTGTTCCACTTAGACCAAAGGATGAGAGGAAGGATGCTAACGGTGGCAGAGATTGATGACTTCTTCGCCGCCATGGAAAAGGCCAAGACCGAAAGCTTCGCCGCCAAGTAAGTGGACCTCCTAATAACTTAGCTGCAATTTTGCAATCTACTGTCAGAACCTTGGAGTACTTTATTCCACTTTTGGGTTCGTCAAAGAATTCTGGAAGGATAACAAAGCAGTCTCTCGTTCAGTTTTTCCATTTATCGCCTCAATGCATCTACTTGTAGATGCTTTCTTTTGTTGTAAAATGATAATGCGTTCTTGCTGGTCAATGAAACTAACAAATCGGTAGACTACATTTCGCTGATTTTTTTCTCTTCATATCCTTCAGGATACTCAATGATGTGATATGAAACTTTTAGTTTTGTTCAATTACGGAGAGTTGAGAGTTTTAGGGACAAATTCAATCTCATCATATTCTGTAAGTTGTCGATGCATGTAGATTTCGCTTATGAAGATTGTTTGATGAGTATTACAGTATTCCGTTTTAGGCAGCAATAAGAGGAATTGTTCAGTGTTATGTTCTGTAGAGAAGATGGATGGGTGGAGATTGGTACAACAATTTTAGTGTTCAACGTTTGCCGATTTTGGCGTCAAGTTATTTAAGTTTAGATGCATCATAGAGATGAACTCAGTTGCAATTGCAAGGACTCACCAGTAGGCAATGTTGCAAATATTTTCACCGAATCAAGGAATTTGAATTTTCTGGTTCATTACTCGAGTCTTTGGCATTTACGAATGTACTGTATAGAATATTTCATTAATTGTTACACTCTAAACTCGGTGCAGATTTGAACTTTTACTAGCTATAAGTTCTGAAACGTTCTTGCATTTACCAATACTGACAATGCAGTACGCACTCCAACTAAAACAGGACATGACAGATAGATTGCCTGATCTAAGCAACTGGGAAAGGAGGTTAATCTAATGGATACAAAGATTTACATCACCAAAAACAGAAAAGAGAAATGCCATGCACATGAACCACGTGGCTAAGCAAAGGTCCTTGCAAAAAATTCGCCAGACAACTCAAAATCCTATAAAATACTTACGACAACTTTTTTGACATTTTTCCGCTTCATATGTACCAGCAGCGCCCAAGCAACAACGATCCAACAATCAAATACACTGATACAAACGTCCAAGACCGGAAGACAATCATATCCAAGCATTCGCGCAAGCTATCTACTACTTCATCAAAGGCACAAACCCGGCAGGGTAGGTGTATGCACCAAATTTTAAAATTCCAGGTTCTCCTAAGAATTATATATTGTCCCGGTACCTTGTTTTTGTGCTTCGGTCATGGCGTGATCTCCTACTCTCTCCGTCCCAAAATCGCCTGTGAAATAGCCGTGATAGCTGCGTTATAGTTGCCCAGGAGCCTCCCCGCTACGCTATGGCTGCTACTGCAAAATTCTCCACATATCCCTCTAAATGGCTCAAAAATCAGCAAAATCCTTCAGAAATCATCTCTCCCACCAGAATTTTTTCGCTATTTGCCGCTATTGCCCACTATGGCGGCCTCTATAGCTGTTGGGAGAGCCAGCCGTGAAATCGTTTCTCCCACGATTTTAATCTACGACCTTGATACACTTATTTTGAGTCGGAGGTAGTATATTTTAACATATTCTATAGTGTATTCTCCATGATGATGAAATACAAGCAGTTGTTGCAAAGAGCAAACTATAATAGATTAATAGACTTCTGTACAACAAACCACCCCCTTCATGGCGCACTAATTGTTTCCACTATCCTTGGTGATTTTTTTATATGTATCCTTGGTGATCTAGGTGTTATGAAAAACATACTGTTCTCTATGCCATGTAACGCCCTCTTTGTACTTCATCAAATATAAATGCAAACCCTATTTTCTTTGGTTCATTCGGTCAACTATCACCTTACGGGGTAGCACTAAAACATACAGTACTTTGCTCCAAATGATAAAGATTTAACCATTTGTTTTCAAAGAAAATAAAGATTTAATCATTACCTCGCTAACGTAGCGCACACACAATTCTGTTGTCATAGGCGCGGCGTGCCGCCGCGCGGGCATAAGCTAGTAAATTAAAAGACGGACGCGTGCGCATATCAGATACAGGTAGTAGAGAAGATGATCAACGATACAGGCCAGCCGAAGCGAACAACAGACACATCATTCTTTCCTCCTCTCGAAGGAAAGGAGATCTCGCCAGTGCCCCGTAGCTAAGGAGTTCCTCCGCCGTTTTTCTCCGGCGGCTCCCCTCCGTCGATGACCTCAATCGTCGATGGTGAGGGAGGTCGTCAGATCCATGTATGTAAATAGTTTTTAGGTCAAAGTAGCTTAGTTTTTAGGCTGTTCATCGTCTTAGGCGATGCTGAATAATGTTTTTTTAGATCCTACTTCGAACCCCACGCATGCACGACCCGGTGCAGCGGAAGCCACGCCACGCCACACAGCTGAGCTCGACCGAGAGCCCAGGGTAGTCGCACGAATTCCACGGAGACAGCAACCCCGCCGTACGTTGTCGCTGCGGTACGATGTGACGCACGCCCCGTTTTCCCACGCTAGCACGCCGCAATACCTCGCCGATCGACCGAGAAGCAAAACGGGTGGCCGGGCTACGTCGGATACTTGCTCCGGCCGGCCGGGCTCTCGTACTCTGCGTTCTCACGCGAGGTGAAGTCCGAGTCCGGTGTTGCTACCAGCGTCGCTCCCTCCGGTCGGGCTCTCGTACTCGGACAAAAGCGCGCACGCGCACGGCCGGCGGCATTATCTGCCCAGTTGAAAACCACCCCGGCCGGAGGTCGCATTCGCAGGCAGGAAAGAATCCGCATACGGTTTGAAATACGTCCCATCATCGTTTTGTACTCTTCGATCAATCTTTCCCGTACCACAGGGGAGTTAGTAAGTTGCCGTATGAACCCACGTCGCGCTCCGTCGGCTCAACAAATAATCCTGATATACGGTGCCTGATCCAATAATACAATGCTTGTTTTCACAAGCATTCTCACGTAGGTTCACCACACATTTTGCCCAGTAATACAATGCTTGTTTTCACAAATCACAATCGAATCATGCGATATTTACTTCTATCTTTTGTTTTTTTATACGCATGCGGTATAAAAGCAGGGCTCGCATGCTGAACCTGCAGCTCACTGCATCTCAGCCATGGCATCTATTCCGAAGCTTGTGATTCTCCTGCTGTGCACCTGTCTTCACACTCTCGTTGCTCACGAAGGATACGATCTTCGCGCCTACAAGGTTCTGCA